GTGCTGCATGCTTTATTATTAAATCCTTTATTTGCTGCTGCATGCTTTATTATTAAATCCTTTATTTGCTGCTGCATGCACTTTTGCTTTATTTAAATGCTTTTGCATGCATTAATCTTTTTACAAATGCCATTTATTTATTTATTTTTATTTTGTTTATCTTCGAAATGCTAGACATTGTGTTCATCGAACTGTCTCCAATTCTGCTGCTGCTGCTGCTGCTGCTGCTGCTGCTGCTGCTGCTGCTGCTGCTGCTGCTGCTGCTGCTGCTGCTGTTGGTGCTGCTGCTGTTAGTGCTGCTGCTGCTGCTGCTGCGGCTGCTCAAGCTTGTAAAACTGGCTGGCGTTGCATGCATTAGCAGTGGAAGCAGCAGCAGCAACAGCAGCAACAGCAGCAACAGCAGCAGCAAAACTGCTGCTGCGTACTTTTATACAAAGGATGCCTCCCGTTTTGCTGCTGCTGCTGCTGCTGCTGCTGCTGCTGCTGCTGCTGCCAATGCATGCAACCGCCAGAGCAGCTAACACACTGACACCTGATGAATAATAAAAAATTACAACATTAATATTTATTTAGAATAATTACTTAAAATAATTGTTTTAAATAAATATTACTTTTATAATCATTATTATAATAATAATTATTTAAATGAAGTAATACTAAGTCCCTCAAGTGCTCAGGGGCCAACTGCTGCTGTTCAGAATCTGCTGCTGCTGCTGCTGCTGCAGCTGCAGCAGCTGCTGCTACAGCTGCTGCAGCGGCACCTACAGCTGTAACAGCAGCTGCTGCAGCTGCTGCTACAGCTGTAGGTGCTGCTGCTGCTGCGATTGCTACTACTGCTGCTTCTGCAGCGATTGCTGCTGCTGCTGCTGCTGCTATTGCTGCTGCTGCTGCTGCTGCTGCTGCGATTGCTACTGCTGCTGCTTTGGGTATTGTAGCTATGGCTGCTGCTGCTGCCATTGCTGTAGTAGTTAATGCTGCTATAGCTGCTGCTGCAGCCGCTGCAGCTGCTGCAGCAGCTGCTGCAGCAGCAGCTGCTGCTGCAGCTGCAGCAAATCAGCACGGAAGGAGTTCACCAGAGGAATTCGAGGGTTTAGGGTTTCAGGCGAGGGCGTCTGAAAAGCAGTGCCTTAGAGACGCTAGAAAGCAAGAAACCCTAAACCCTAAACCCTAAACCCTAAACCCTAGGCGCTAGAACCTAGCGCTTAACAGCTGCGTTCTGCAGCAGAATAATCTCTATCGGAAACCCTAAACCCTAAACCCTAAACCCTTGGAAAGTAGACAAGAGAAAGGTGAGACGGAAAAATATGTATAGCACTCTGTTCGAACTGCTTCACCACAAACCCTAAACCCTAGGTCTGCCTTGTGCCCAAATGCGGCACCAAACCCAAAACCCTAAACCCTAATTAGGGGTTAGGGTTTCGGGTTTAGGTTTTGGGCTTCAGTCTGGGCTTCAGGGTTTAGGGTTTGGGGTTTTGGGCTTTGGGCTCGGGATGCAGGACTGAGGGCTTGGGGCTCAGGGTTTAGGGTTTGGGACTGCGGGTTGAGGGCCTTGGGGCTAGGGTTTAGGGTTTGGGGTTCAGGGTTTAGGGTTTGGGGCTCAGGGTCTGCGGTTTGGGGTTTAGGGTCTAGGGTTTGGGGTTTAGGGTTTAGGGTTTGGGGCTCAGAGTCAAGCAACCCCCCCTGCGGAGCCAGTCGACGCGCCAAACCCTCGAGACGAGAAACTCCCTCATCAGCCCCGAAAGCCTGAGCAGCAGCAGCAGCAGCGGGAGCAGCAGCAGCAGCAGCAGCAGCAGCAGCAGCAGCAGCAGCAGCTGCGGGAGCAGCAGCAGCAGCAGCGGGAGCAGCAGCAGCAGCAGCGGGAGCAGCAGCAGCAGCAGCGGGAGCAGCAGCAGCAGCGGGACAGCAGCAGCAGCGGGACAGCAGCAGCAGCGGGACAGCAGCAGCAGCGGGAGCAGCAGCAGCAGCGGCACAGCAGCAGCAGCGGGAGCAGCAGCAGCAGCAGGACAGCAGCAGCAGCGGGACAGCAGCAGCAGCGGGAGCAGCAAAGGGGATAGCGGCAGGAGCAGCGGCAGAAGCAGCAGAAACAGCAGCAGCGGCGTCGGTACCAGCAGCGCAGCAGCAGCAGCAGAGCAGCAGCAGCAGCAGCAGCAGCAGAGCAGCAGCAGCAGCACAGCAGCAGCAGGAAAGCGTTAATAAGGGCACAAAAAATCCCCACAGAAACCAAATAAACTATAAACTGGCCATCAAAATAAACAAACATAAATAAACAAACAAACAAATAAATAAATAAATAAATAAATAAATAAATAAATAAATAAATAAATAAATAAATAAATAAATAGTAAATAAATAAATAATAGACTTATTTAAACCCTAAATGAATTTTCTGATTGAGAACAAAGAATTTTAATTTGCCCCTCGAAGCCAAACTTCCAACAAGCGAAACAAACCCTAAACCCTAAACTTGTTTACGCACAGCCTAAACCCTAAACCCTAAACCCTAAACCCTAAACCCTCAAGCCTAAACCCTTAAGCAAGAAGAAATGGGAAACTTTAATAACGGCGCAGGCAGCTCCCGTAGTCTCCATCAAACGGTAAACCCTAGCCCTAAACCCTAAACCCTAAACCCTAAACCCTAAACCCTAAACCCTAAATGAACTTACCCGCAGCAGCGCAGCGGCGACTTTTAGAAAAGATAAAACATAAGCAGCATCAAAGAACGACAGGTCCTGGGTGGCCCAGCGGATGACGTAGGTCTGCGCAAACCCTAAACCCTAAACCCTAAACCTTAAACCCTAAACCCTAAACCCGAAACCCTAAACCCTAAACTCTAAATATAAGGCCTGAAACTGGTCTTCTGGGCTCCTCAGAAGATGGCGTAGACTCGTGGAGATTGGATTGCAAACCTTCAGGCATGGGTAAGTCCCAAACTTCAAACCCTAAACCCTAAACCCCAAACTCTAAACCCTAAACCCTAAACCCTAATGCTTGCCTGGAGGCGGTGCACAAGCTGGGGGTCTACGACTGTTTGTTCGAACACCTCGTTCCAGTACGCCGTCTGCCCACAAACCCCAAACCCTAAACCCTAAACCCTAGGCCCCAACCCCAAACCCTAAACCCTAAACCCTAGGCCCCAACCCCAAACCCTAAACCCTAAACCCTAGGCCCCAACCCCAAACCCCAAACCCTAAACCCTAAACCCTAAACCCTAGACAACCCCAAACCCTCCGCCAC